TGGTGGAGATTGCATCATGGATGTGCAGCCAACAAATCTGCAGCAACTGCGTGATGCTATCATGTCAATATGGAGCAAAATCTCTGAGGAATATTTCCAGAATCTTGTTGAATCTTTGCCATGAAGGATTAGGCATTTCTGTCTTAACAGCGTAGATCAATCCAACCTACTACTAGTAAGATGTACCTAATAAAGTGGCCGATGAGTGTATATTATCATATTTTACAGTCATATCACTGCCAGTCTTTGCTGGTCAACTGTAGCTTCAGCAAAGCCTTAGGTGGTCTGATTTTTTTTTCTTTTGCTTTGTTTTCACTCCGCGGTGATTTAGTAAAATCCCATCAAATCTGAAATGGTAAGATCAGCATCCTCTTTAGATGGTCAAATTCTATACATGCTTTGATCTCTAATCCAGAAGATTTCCGTAAACCCGGTGTTCCAGTTCTTGACCTGAATCCACTCTAGACAGACAATTCTGCCAATAAACCTCTCAGAGCTCCAGTCTTCCTTTGGGAAGCATCAGGATGGTCTCATTTAAGAGAAGTGTGAACTGCATATTCAATTCATAGTGCTTAATCATTGGGTATACAGTGCAGTATTGATCTTTTTTTTTTTTTTTTTGGTCTTCAAGAGTCTGTAGTCAGAAACCAGGCAGACTTGTATAGATTACCATAGCCTGGGATCCCCCATTCTTATTATTTCTAAATGAATGTGTTAAAATCCCCTAATTGTCAAAATCAAGTTGTGGTTTTGGACAAAAAGGGACATGGAAATGCATCTGCCGATTGCATTTTGAAGTACCAAATATACAACAACGTGGCTCTTTTATGCTTGCGTTATTTACCTTTGGTTGCTAGGTTACAAATACTACAGTCTGCTGCTCTAACAACTCGGAATGGAAACCTGGTTAGTTTTGGTTTTGGATGTATTACACATGTGTAAATCTGTGCTTAGATGCTACCACCTACTCTGTTGCACCTAGTTCCTTGCTTTGAAGTCACACACATTGTGACTATGTATTAACACCTGTGCATGTTCTGTTTTAACAATTAAAAAATTCAGACTGTAGATTGATGGGACAGGGTCGTTTGGTTACATTGGTTTAAAGCAGCTGTCCCCAACCCCCAGGCTGCAAAGCGGTACAGAATTAAATAAAAAATCAGGTTGACATCAAGCCTGAACTGATTTTAGGGGGTAATGGCACAGCAGGCACAGAACGTCAACATGACGTCCGATTGATGTTGTACCTCAACGTCGTAGTGACATTGCATTTTGGGTGTAAAAAAAAAGGGGTTGACGTCAAGTCTAAACTGATTTTAGGGGTAATGGCACAGCAGGCACAGGATGTCAACATGATGTCAGATTGATGTTGTATATTGATGCTTATAGTCTATTCACGGCAATATAGTCTTATAAAAGATAACCACTAAGTGGCTGGTTTGGCCAAAATAAGTGGCAAAAATAAAGATGGCCACAGTCACTAAATGCAGATAATCGTAATTGCACAAAATATGGTCAACTCTTCCATTCAGCTAGTGCAACAGTTTGTTGTCGTGTTTTTATGTCCTCCCAAGAGATATTAATAACTATATCTCATTGGCTGAGTTATATGACTGAAGCATTTGATGAGTTTGTGTTACATCAGCCTGTGCCTGAGTGGGCTATTCAGATGTGATGTGTATGTGTGTGGTTTTTATCCAGTGATTTGGCAGCCCATCATTGATTTGTTCTTTTGATGTGTGCTGTGACAGAAGAGCTTCACTACCGGTATTGATTTCATCTGATTGGCCCCTGGGCTGGTGGGAAGGGGTCAGAATATGAGGTTATGAGCCATGGACTGTTCCATTCACTTTTAGGGGGGGCTCAGTTTATTAATGACAGAGCTTTCAAGGTTGATCTATTTATCTTTTTAGGGAGCAGACCCCTCACAATTTCCAGTAATATGAGATCAGGGTAACTGCATTTCTCTTCTTTAGGGTATGTTTCAATGTTTGTGTTGGATCTCGCAGTGCCCATAGGAACACCATACACGAGATAAAGCTTTTATATTAAGTGTGCAAGATCGATGTCGTATCGAGCATGTGTTTGTACATAACTACAGATGAGTTCCTCGTGTTCCAAGTCTGCATATTGGGAGTTTGGCCTAACTGACCCACACAACACGAGTGTGTATGTAGCCCTGACCTGCCCAGAGATCCTTCATGTGTGGCTTCATCAATCCGCGCCACATCTTAATGTAATCTTCCCCATCTACGCTTTGAATTTCATGTTGCTGCAGCCTTTTATTACACTCCAGCATAAATGTTTGGCAGAGCCAAGAATAACCTAACACAGTTGTCGGTCTCTGGTGGATTGCTCTGGTTTAACTCGCTCAGGCTTGACCTAGTATCCCTCTGAAAACCCTCTCCATGGTAGTGCGTGTCCACTGAACCTGTTCTAGCAAATAACACATATTCAGCACCCTGGCTTTTATTTCGCCTCAGACTCTGATGTGGTTCTGCCTGCCAACTGTCTTTGTCTGACTGACAGTTGGCATTTGGAAGTTATTAAAACTGCATGTGTGGAACCAATCTGCTGACAGTTGGATTCCTTTTGTGGTCGATGCATTTCTGAGCCAAGATCTGCAAAATTCGGTCAGAGTCACCTTGGCATCATATCACTTCCGATATCACAGATCTAATGTTTACAAAACATCTGTCAGATGTGTAGATACCCCATGATCATTGTGTTTTTTCTCTTATCTGGTTCTAATAGCCAACATACTTAAGATTCAAATGAGATAAAAGTACAGGAGTTCTACAGGATATTATTAGTATTTATTGCCCATGTAATACACAATATTATGGGGCATTTGCTAGGGCAGAGTTGTCCTAGTTTCAGCCACAAATAAACACTGCAGTACAAATAATAAAGGCAGGATGAAGTCAAGCAGCAGAATAATAACCCATTTCCACAGAGCGGTAAGGTTTGGTACAGTACATTACTGATAAAGGTACCAAAATAACTGTATCTTACTACTTTTTTGGCACTTTTTTTAAGGCTAAGTAGCAGAATACGGTTCCAAAATGGTGGAGCTACAGTCACTGACAAGAAGCAAGAACATGATCGGCGCTATGTCCTCTATTGTTGTTTACTGTTCACATGTTGCATCTAAATGTGTGAAAAGAACAAGCTGCTTCTTTTCTCTATCTGTCTACATTTGAAATAATGAACTTGAGTGTGTTCACCTTATTCTCCTCATATGAGCGGGCGCAGCCATTTGAATCATTTTGGCTTGAGACTTCCGGTCTCATTCCTTTCCATTCGTTTTTAGATGTTAAAAACAGCTTGTTTTGCTGCTTGATGCTGCAAACTGATATTGTCTTATTATATTATTCTACTTTGTCTGTGTAGTCATGCAAGTAGTTTGACCGTTTTCTGCCGTTTATTATTCCTAGTCGTTTCTCCCATAGGAAACTCAATTGGAAGTTTTAAAACAATCGCAAAAAGGAGCACAATATGTGCTATATGGCAATATATTAACAGGCAGTATGGTTTACTTCCTTGAGCAAGAATGATGTTGATTGCAACTTTGATTTCTTTCTAGTGTAGTGCATGACTACAAAGTAAGGGTACTGTTAGCAGTGAAAATGCAAGACTTGTACCGAACTGTACTGTACTGTACTTTATCGTACCTAGTGTTTTGGTTGCATGGCAGGTAGGGGTGTAACGATACACTCAGCTCACGATACAATGTGTATCACAATATAATGTTCATGATTAGATATGTAACACGATATTTGGAATAAAAATTGAAAATTAAACTGAAATGCAAATTTTATCAAAAAAAAAATTAATTACCAAGTAAACTATTTTTTATGTATTTCTTTTGTTTCAACTTGTTAAACTGAACCTTCTTTAAGAAAATAAATTAAATAGGACTGTCTCTGGAAAATATTATTGAAATTATTCAATTCAATTGAATTTAACAGTAAGAGCTTAAGGCTTTGCTTGGTCACTTGCGTTTTTTGTGTGTGCAATCTACATTTCCAGGTAATCAGCAGTTCTATAAAATAATCCTGAACTGATGTGTATCTGTCTGAGAGGTTTTTATGGATAGCTGTCTTCATGTTGGGCATGATGAGTGACAGGGTGGCCGTCTTTTCATTACACAGGACAGTCGTGGCTCTTTTCAGCAGTTTAGGCAGGTTTACTATTTCTTCGGCGTTGCTGATGTCGGCGCTATCAAGTATATCATGTTGATGTGCATTTTTGTGTACCCCTGTACTCAAAAGAGTTCATGCTCGTCGTAATCATAACTCTAAAATGCGATATAATTATTTAAATAATGTGCTTTCGGTTTCATTTCCACTGCTGTTCATACTTCCCACGCGGCTCCTGAACGATCAATCTGTTCCACAAAGTGAATGTTGTTCACTACTTTATTACCTGTTCGTCACAACCTGCAGGTTCTGTTCACTGAAGCAGACGCGCGCGCGTCTATCATAGTCAGCCCTCTGTAGTAACAGCTCACGGTCAGCTCACGTCATGTGTGATTTTGCGGCGGGAACACTATATGAAGACAGAATGATATTTTAGGGTGAATTGTACCTTATCAATACAGTATGTGACTCTTTCAACACCATTAGAAGGTTTCCATGTCGCTGTGCAAAGTATGTAAATCACTGTGAAGACTTTAAAACTTAGGCTATTTGACCCAGTATGCGTGTCAAAAAGCGGACGAGTCTAAAGCAATGACTGTACAACCGAAATGTTGCCAGACGTCTGATTTTGAGAGGATGGGCCATCCTCTATGTCAACTCCACTCATCTTGGTCTGCTAACATTACTGCTGCTGCAATCTGAACTCACGTGCGACAGCAGGTGGAACGTAGCTCACGTGCAAACAGCTCAACTAATAAGAGAAAACGGACGGCATATCGTAATAAAATCGTCATAACGCCACGATGCATATTGTGACATTTTTGCAACGCAATAAATCGTACAACGATAAATCGTTACACCCCTAATGGCAGGTGATTGTTTAGTTGCCCAAAATGGGTTATCCCATTTCTCCCTCAAAAATAATTGGATCTCTCCTTTTAAGTAATTTGTTTGAAAATACATACCTAAGCATGAACACTAATCACTGTATAGTGATGCTGGCTTACTATACAGTGAATAAATAAATAATACATTTTCCCCGATTTGCGCATGTGTCATCCAACTCAGAACTGAAAGCATCTTCACCCATAGTGTGCTATAGTCTCATGCTCTGTTTCAACCTCATTCCTCTGCTTCTGCAATGCGCGAGAGGATTGCAGTGTTCCTGTAAAGCAGTAGGGAATTCAGAGTTCTCCGAGATGTGATTTGTCTTTTGCAGTCCTCCCTCTCTCATCCAGGGGTTAAGCCTGCTGCGGCACTGCTACCTGACTCAGCACTGCGAGAAGACGAACAGATGAAGCGTTCGAGTCATAGTGTGAGCAAGCGGAAGAGACCGATCACTCTTAAATACTGAGCACCATAGGGATACGAGCCTTCCTGTTGGTGTCATCACCTTTTCGTTATTTGGAGACCTCTCTTTGGAACATTTTGGTACTGACGTTTGGGTGGATTTTGTGTGTTTTGGTGTCCGTATGCATTATTAATCCAGCACTAATGAGCTGTGGAAAGGATGCGGTTAGCTGATGGAGTGCCTGCTGGGCAGGCAGATGGGCTCAGACCTGACGCGCACACTTCCTCCAACCCCCCCATCACCTTTGTGCCAGGAGCAGGCTCCAAGGGACCAACCGGAGAACCCGGCGATAAAAGATCCTAGGGCACAGGTGGGCACAGGGGTGCCATCTGAGTCAGGACTAATGACATGGCTCATGTAAGCGTCCTGGACTGCATGATCAGCTACAAATGGAGCCGGATATGTGACCTTTACTGCGCTTTTAACAGTCAGGTCTGTGCAGTCCTCTTCATCTCTATGCATAAAATACATCACAGCCTGCATGTCTTTTAAAAAGCACAGTATCTCCAGTCAAAGAGTCGCATTGTTCTGCTGATATTCATAGTTCCTTGTTCTGACACAGACAGCCCTATGTCTTATCTCATGGAAATGCTTGTCTGATACCAAGAATAACTTGTGTGTATTCCTGCAGCGTGGGAATGCAGAACTGGTTGAATAGGAGATGTCTGATTACTCAGAGTACTCATGACTGATCTATAATGTTTTGTAGATTTAAAAAGTATATACCTATATGTCAATATCATGTAGTTTTTCTGTTTTCATCTTTGCATGCTGTATGTCTGCTGATGAAATATTATAGTACTTCTGGAATTCGTATCTTCTGGATGATCGTCATTTTTTCTTGTTCCTTAGCACTAAAAGAGTAAGCATATAGGGTACAGTTTATTTTAGTACTTTTATTGAACTGCTAAACCTCTAGGGCTGCTCGATTATGGGAAAAACCATGTGTTAGTGAAACTAATAGCCGCTTTCACACATACACACCTTTCTGGAAAATTACCAGCAATTTTCTGGAAAGGTGTGTATGTGTGAACAGGCCCTTTTTGAAAATACCGGTAAATTCGTTCTGGCTATTTTCCGGAAAGAGAAGTTGTAACATAACCGGTAATTTGCCGGAATGCTGCGCTGTGTGAACGCAAAAGGAAGATTGCCGGAAAAAGCGTGTGCGCGTCTAGAACGTGAGACGTCTGCTTAAGCCAATCAGAACAGTCAGACGCATTTGCGTCCGCGCGGTTTATGAGAATAAAAGCCTTTGGATATTTTTCCAGACACATTTAGCTGCTAGAAATTAGTCAGATAACGTTTATATGTTCATTTTAATGCCAACCGTGTAATTAATTATCGATAAGATGCTTATGATAAGCCGTTGTTTGTTTAAACTTCAAGCTTTGCGTGTGCCCATGAAACAGCCCATGAGCGCCAGCACACACACATATCATGTACATCTCAACATGTAAATGTGTTTCTTTTTATGTTTTCATCGTTGTTCACAATACTGATCCATCCACAGAGTTTGTGATGTAGTCAAATGTTTACAAATACAAGCGCAGCCGTTTACAGGTCATTTTTGGTTAATGATGTCAGAATTTACCGGTATTTATGAATGGATGTGTGAATGCTCTTTTCCAGAAACATTCTGTAACGTCCTCGCCTGTGTGAACAGCGCTTTATGAATTTGCCAGTGAAGTCGTTCCGGAAATTTTTCATATATTTTACAGTATAACTGTGTGAAAGGGGCTATAGTGTACTGCTGGAGAGGGGGCGGGATATCACGCAGTAATCATTTTATCTCAAATCAAGTATTTTCATAATCGTTAAAAGCCAAAATCTGAATTTCGATTAATTCCACATATTCAATAAACCCCATAACCCTAGTTCACAGCTGGTGGTGTTTTCTTGTATGTGTGTGCGCGCATAGATCTCTGGCTTCTTTTCAAAGTTCATTTGGCACACATCTTACAGACAGACAAGTGAGAGACTGTAATCATTGTTCGGCTCTGTCTTTCTGTGTGATCTGAGAGCCGGGTCGTGCTGCAGACTCTGCAGTGCCTTCTCGCTTTGCCCCTTGAACTAATTTAATTTTAGCTCTGCTGAAACTGTTTGCGAGCATGTAGGACTGACGGGCCTCTGTTTGGGGCTGTGAACACAGTCTTTGTGCAAAGGCCTGCGGTATGATATTCAGCACTGACTCCAGCACCTGGTCATTGGATGGAAAAAATGACCGTCCCACGCTGGGTAAATCCTTAACCTTCCAGACGGGCCAAAATCTGTTAGAAGAACATCCCGTGGTGTTGTTTTTTCTCAGTTCATTGTGGTTAAATGAGCTTGTCTGCTGGTCTCATCATTTCCAAGACCGATAACGCCCTTCATAAAGCGTATTAATAATTCATAGTGGCCCAGCAGTGAAGATCCCAATTATATTAGTCTTTGGGAGCATCTGTGGAGGCCCAGGGGACTCTAATTGGCCCACCTGCTCTGCCGAGGGTGAGGGGCTCCCGTTCTTTGTGTGACTGTGGCTCACGCTCGCATCACACTCGCCCTGACAATACACCCTGGAGAAACTTCTGGAACATGCTGTGAACAGGAATTAAAGCATTATAGAAAGACTCCAGACTGAGCTGGTTTACTTTCACTGGGGCTGTACGTCTGTACTAATGATACTGCCTGCGGACTTCACCTTCTGTCCTTTTGAGATCACTCTCACATAGCCTCATACTTCTGGCTTATTCACAGGCCATGTGATGCAAATGGCACATAGTACTGGGGAGTAACTAACTAATAATAGCGATGGTACTACATGTAATGCATTTCTCAGTAGAGTGTCTGTAGACTGTATGTTGCTCTTTTTCTTCAACATAGGCTCATTCTGAAAACATAGCCCTATCTACATTTCTGGAGGTCGCAAACTGTGTAGCTAGAAGTATGTAAAGCTGCATGTTGTCTTTAAAAAGGAATGCTTCGGGGCTGTATGATGCCATTCCTTTTCGCGCTAGCAGCTGACCGCTTACCTTCGTATGGATGACTTTCCCGCTGTTACCAGTTTGTCCAGTGGTTCGTCAGCAGACTTAAGAGGCATTGAGCAGTTCACTGCAATGACGGGGTTCAAGTCTGGTGAAGAACGGTTCCAGAAAGCAGGCAAGACAAAAATAAAAGCCAAAAAATAAATAAACAAGTGAATAACAGGCTGACAATTTGGTTAAATCTGAAAATGTGGTAAAAATCAGGGGGCTTTTCTTTTTCTGGATTGCTTTTTAAAACTGTCTGTTGAGTTTAGGGAAGTGGATGGGTGCTGGTCAATTTGGGGCTTTTTAAAACATTATCGGTTGGGTTTAGGAAGGGGATGGGTGGGGTTATTGTTCGGTTTGTCAATCAGTCAGTCAGTCAGTCAGTTGACAGAGGCCTCTGGTGGATTTATGCGAAAAGAGCTGGTGCAATTGGTACTCGTGAGAGAAAATTAAGATCTCAAATAGTGTACACAGTGCCCTCCGGTGGATTCATGAAAACAAAAACTGCAAAAAAAAAAAAAACATACCTCTTTGCATGCTCTCCAGAAATGTATATAGTGGTACGTTTTCAGAATGAGCCTGGGTTGACTTTCTTGCACTGGAAGCTTTTAATCAATTGGACTGAGGTAATAACTGTACCCATTTTTTTTACAATATTGTTTAGGTGCAAAACAAAATACCGTATATAGATTTATTTTACAAACTGGTGCAATATTTACCCGTCATCACTGTGTGTATGACTTGATTATATTAGTTATGGTGTTTTATTTCTGATATTAAACTTGGATGAATCTCAACAGACTATGTGATGCAAACTGCACACAGTACTGGGGAGTAACTAACTAGTAATAGCCATGCTACTAAATTCACTGCATTACTCAGTAGAGTGACTGTAGGCTGTATGTTGCTCTGTTTATACTTTTGTCAACATAGGCTGTTCTGAAAATGTAGCCCTATATACATTTCTGCAGAATGCGAATTATGTAGCCAGAAGTACATATTACTGCATTTCGTCTTTAAAACGAATGCTATGGGGCGGTATGGCACTGTTCCTTTTTGCGCTAGCAGCTGACTGCTTACCTTCGTATGAATGACTTTCCTGCTGTTATCAATTTGTCCAGTGACTCGCCGTATACGTTGGGAGACTTGAGTCTTGAGTCTTTATCAAAACACTTCATTTTTAAGGTTTAAAAATGTTAAGTAGTGTGGACACTAAAATCTTGACAGTTATGTGGGTCTCGTCTATAAATTTCTGATCTTTTTTTCGTAATATCTATTGGATTCCAGTCAGGTGATTGGCTGGGCCATTCTACAGCTTGATTTTCTTTCTCTGAAAGCATGTGAGAGTTGCTTTGGCTGTGTTTTGGAAATGTCCACCCTGGTCTCATCTTCATCGTCCTGCTAATGTAGATGTTGGACAGAAGCAGCTAATTTTTATTTACAATGGCGAAGGGCTGAGGGTTGCAACAACTGCAAGATTTCAGCCGCTGTCTGGGCCTTCACTGCCTTTCAACACCATCCGTTCTTCATGTGTTTTTTTTAAACTAATAAGGTTTATTTTATTTGCATATTTGGATTTTTTTTTTGGGTTGTTACCAACATCTGGGGGAAATTTCAAGTCAACAGCACCTTTAGAAATATGTTTTCGAGAAAAATGTTGATGTGTTCACTATTTATTTCTCCCACTGTATTCTTTGGATACAGATAAATCTTTAAAAGCTGTTCACATCTTAGTTTAATTAAAACATCTGTGCATTTCACACCTGCATTTTATTTGTTTAATAACTGTTGTGAATTAGCAGATTTTAGCCTTACACATAATGAACAAAACTGCAAATAGCTATTTGAGACCAACCATTCCAAGGCATCTCCACATGATCTTTGATGGGAAAACCGGAAAAGCCCGTTGGCAGTGTCCACTCGGAGAGAACTGATAGAGATCTGTGTGAGGAAGAGACTTGAGAGGGATTGGAGTATCAAAGGCAGATTGTGCATGGATAACCAATGTTTTCTGACATAATTTCACTCCACCCAGTCCCAGGAGAGAATTAACTATCAGTTTATTTCACCCTGATGCCTGGGAAGAGTGATAGCGAGAGAAGTGCGTCTGCTTCTGCGATGTGCCCTTCTCTCCCGCTTATAATGAGGAATTCAGGACCACACAATCACCTCCATTGACGTGAGACAGGGAATGGTAAAACTTCCAGATCAGCTGCAGTGTGGCTGAAACACGTTTGTTCAGTTGCCAGTGTTTGACACTGTACAGAGGTCACTACATATTTGAATTTTTTTTGCAGGCCTTTTGGATCTGTTTCTTTATGCATGTCATTTCCTGTATCAAGACCTAAAAGCTAAATCTATATGTGTAAACAGTGCAACTGGTTTCAGTGCAGCAGCTGAGCTTTTGTGCATTTGCTAATGCATAAG